GTGTTTTTTAATGAATGTTCCAGTTCTGTTATTATTTCTTTCATTATCCATGGGTCATTCTTTTTGTGTTTTTGATTGCTTTGCAGAAATTCTTTCTGTCATTGCTATTCAATGTATTAGTTACCTGAAATCATCAATATTTTTATTTGGCCTAGCAGTTCATATACCTCCATTTCTCAAGAAACACAACACAAACAACTATTGTAATTTTATGTGCTAGATTTGTATAGGGACAGGTCTTCATCAGTCAATTTGGGTAGCTATTCTGAAGGCCTCTCAGGACTTACCCATTAATGTATCTTCCTTGGAATTGTGTATATAGATCCCTAATTGCAGAAACAGACTTTTCTTCCCAGTAATCTGCAATGTCTTATTCTCTTTGATATCTATGCTGTATCATGGGTTCTATGAAGCTACAACAAAACTCAACAGCTCCAAAGTATCTAGAATATGTTGGGTCTTTTCAATGTATACTTGGGATGGTCACTCTGGCAGCATCCTTAGAAAAGAATCAAAACATTCTTCAACTTTCCCTTTGCATACACAAGAAGAAGCTGCTGAGGTGTGTTTGCCCCACTTCTGTACCTCTGAAACAGAAGCACACACTCAGTAACACTGGTGTGTGTGTGTGTGTGTGTGTGTGTGTGGGTGGGTGTGTGTGTATGTGTATTTGTAGCTTCTTGGGGAACCAGTACTCTGAAAATAGCAGAGCAGAACATCTATTGGGTTTTTTGTTTGTTTTGTTTTTACCATCCATGGAGAAATTGGTCTTGGGAATTTCCATAATAGGATTGTAGTAAAAGATAGTCCTAATTTAACAACAAGCTTTGCTTCAGCAATGTGTCATGCTTTTCTAATGTAGAAGCCTTTCTGGTTTCTCAGTTCCTAAGAAAGGAGATTAGCCTGTTTACTGATGCTCTATCAGTGACTCTGTCCTGTGAACAAAGAGGACCCAGGATTTCCTCTTATCTCCTCCTGCTAGTGTTACTTAAGGGTATGAATTTAAACTGGCACTGATTTTCACACCCCAATTGAGTGAATGAATACAAAGTTATTAGCAATTTAGAGCAGATGGACTGAAAATACATGTATGTCTTACAGTTGTTAGAAAGGCCAGTAGAGACTTGCAAATATATCCACACAAATAGACTTGTCTTCACATCATAATATATCCATTTGCATAGAGAAGAAGCTATAAATTTTCAAAATTAAAATAGAAATATTAAATCATTTAATTGTTATTTCTAATGAAAATTAATTTTCAATTTTTTGTAATAAATTTGTTGCTATTTTCACTTCAAAATGTTATGTGAAGGAAGATAAGAAATAACTGTATTCCCATAGGCACATTCTGAAGGAAGAAACCTTTAATTGCTTTATACTATTCATCCATGCTTGGTCAAGTCATATCATGGGATGACATTTGTGACTTACTCTTTTCTCATCCTGATGGAAACACAAGGCAAAAGAACTAGAACACAGCTATTAAGATAGATTGGAGCTAATGATTTTTGCAATAAGCCATATGGAGAGTTGATGGTTCCAAATTTGAGTGTCAGGCCTTGTATTTCAGACACATTTTCTTTTCCTCAAGAAAGTTTGCACACATTTTATAGAGCTTACTGAGAATAGCTATGGGTAAGAACTGCTGGTGACATTTCATAATGGAAATGTCACATCTTTACCAGGAAGATAAGGGGCAGCAGCATGCTGATGTCTTGCAATGAATTGTGTTAACAGGGTGCATTATCAAGGCATAGAGAATGCCACCCACTAATGATGTAAGAAAGAATGACAGTTAGAATCACATGACAATGCTTGATCACACTGCTCACAAGGGATTATTAGAATACAAACACAAATCCAGGTGCAAAACAACACTGCTAGTTTTCTTGTTTGTGCATTGTACATGATGACACTGAGATCAAATTTTGTATTATTTTTAAAGGTATTTTCATTTTTTTATAAATTAAGAGAGCAAATTAAAATACAAATGCAGAACGCTTCTTTTGCCTTATTGTAAATGTAGTTTTGAGGTTTTGCCTCAAAATTATTAGTGAACAAATGAAAACTAAACATGACAAATTAAACCTTGTTTTTCTTAGTGAGGCCAATAACCAGAAATGTCATGAGTCTGCAGACATACTTTAAAACAAAGCATCCTTTTACTGAGATGGCTTTCTCTGAGGATGCAGTGTTATGGTACAAGCTGAAAAAATGTTTCCATTTAAGGTTCCTAGATTCAAGGAAATGACTTCAGACACTCTCACAGAAAATGACTACAAGGAGATAATGTCACACATTTCAAATTAAATGCATTTCTCTAAACTTAACAATAAATTCAATGGAGGAAACTATATTTTAATTGTATAAATTGCCTATGTACCACGGTTTTGGTTTTTTCTTCAAGTCTTCTAATGTGTGAATTCTTACATTTATTCTGTTGAGTCCATTCATTTTTCTCTATATATTTCTGAATGTGTATTTGCATCAACTGACTCTTTCATCTCTGGTATTTTTTCCTCTGTGTAGACTTGGCTGTCGACCTTGCTCTCCCTGTTTCTTTTTCTTTGATTGATTGTCTCATCTCCACATTTCTGTTGTGTTTCTTCATAGGATCTAAATCTTCCCATATAATTTCCCCTCTGTGTTTTAGAATCTTTCCTCCAAATTGCTCACTGTTAGATCCCTTTGTTATCTTTCTTACCTAGAATTTGAGTTTATTTCTTACGGCATTCTACTGCTGACTTGAGTTCTCTGTGTTGTCATTAATCCTTGTTAAAAGGAGGATTTCATGTTCCCCATTATCTTTGGTTTCTAGTATTGCGCAATTGTGCGTATTTAAAGTTCCGGCAGTGCCTTGATTCTTCGGATATTTTTTTTTTTTTTTTTGATCTTGCAACATTCTACATAGGTGGACACTAGTTTTAAGAACACGATTACAACAACCCAAATAACCCAAGACAGTTAGATGGAAGATAGGTTTGTATTTATGTACAGAAAACTTAACGGTGAGCGTACATTTAACCCAGTTTAGTAGCGAGTTCTTTAGCCTTTGCCTTTTCCAGCTTGGCAATTCGAGCCACAGATTTAGGACCCAGGACATTGCCTCCCCAGTGGCATCGGATCTCATCATATCTGTCGTTGTAATTGGTCCTAATAGCTTCCACCAGCTTAGCCAGAGCACCCTTGTCTTCCGAGTTAACCTGTGTGAAGGCAACGGTGGTACATGTTTTCCTGTGGACCAGTCGTCCCAGCCTGGCTTTTCCCTTGATGATGCAGTAGGGGATCCCCATCTTCCGACACAGGGCAGGCAGGAAGACTACCAGCTCAATGGGGTCTACATCGTGGGCAATTACCACCAGCTGAGCCTTCTTGTTCTCCACCAACGTGGTGACTGTATTGATTCCTGCTCAAAGAACAGGTGGTCTCTTAGTTGGGACATCCCCTTTGCCAGCAGCCTTCTTCTCAGCACCGGCCAACAGTCTTTGCTGCTTCTGCTGCTTTGTCTCTGGCCTGTACTTGTGGGCAAGCTTGAGCAGCTGGGTAGCTGTTTGCCAGTCCTGGGTCTGGGTGAACTGGTTAATGGCAGGAGGAACTTTAAGCCGCTTATATAGGATGGCCCTTTGCCGCTGCAGCCGAATGTATCGGGGCCATTTGACAAAGCGTGTGAGGTCTCATTTGGGCTAGGTGTCCTGCCCAATGCCGAAGTTCTTAGGCCTCTTCTCAAACAAAGGGTTCACCACCTTCTTGGCCTCCTGTTTCTTCATGACGGTGGGGGCAGGCGCCACATTCTTCCCCTTGGCCTTCTTTCCCTTGGGCATCTTGCTCGGCTGCAGAAAAGAGAGAGAGAGAGCGATTCTTCAGATTTTTTGTGTATAGGTTTCTTTGCTGTGTTTTGTACATCTGTAGACTAGAATATGTCCTTCAGTTTCAATTTTGCCAAATCTTCTTGTTTTATTTTACACAAGTCTTCCTGATGGAAAGTTTCTGCTCTTATTGCTATTTAGAGAGAAAGCCAACTACACAGTATGTATAAACATATATCCATGCAATAACAATTAATAAAGCAACAGGTCATGGATTTGAAAGAAAGCCAAAGAAGGGTATATGGAAGGATTTAGAGGGAGTAAGGGGTGGGGCAAATGATGTGTTTATAGTCTCAAAATAATAGAAATAACTACAATAGTTTATTCATTCTTACATACATTTAAAACATTAATCGTTTCTATGAACTAAAGAAGTTTGTGAACAAAATCTCTATCTTTTGGTTTTAAGAAAAGAAACATCTAGGAGTCTCTAAAAGTGTACATGGCAATCAGTAGGAACAATAGGAACAATAGTAATAGTTTTTCTTGAAGAGTTGGAAGTCAAAAATAGGAACATACATGGTTAATAATACATAGCAGCAACATATATATATCACAGAAAATAATATGAATGCATAAAATAGTAAGGTATTGTCAATCTGTCATCAAATTAATAAAGTCTGCAAAATTTGGTTTTACTTGATACAAAGGATGAAGAGAAAAAAAAGGACCTTTTAGTGTTCCCAAGAAGGTAGGTGGAGATGACATCACTCATTACCAGTTCCATTTCTAAAAAGCATTGCTGTTGTATGGGAAAAACATTATTTATTCCAGTATTTTTAGCCATCTGAAAATAAAAGAGACAACCTAGATTTTAATTACAATGAGATTTCATAAGTAAATATATTCATATAATGAGACTCTGGAGCGTCATTATGAGAATTGATTTTAAATATGTTAAATTGCTCTAGGAAAAAAAATCTGTAATGGTTTACCAAGTCAAAACGTGCTGATGTCACACAGCCTCACAACAGTTATGAACGTGTGTGCTCAGAAAAGCACAATCTTTATTATGCTTGAGTGGATATTGATTTAAAGAGAAAGTGCCATTAGTCTACTATTACATTCAGAAACCAGGGGAAAAGAAATGGTGTCTTGTGCATTTTCATGCATTGCTTTTCTCTTTTACAGTTCACGAAGACTGTCGGTGTCTGATGCTGTGTTGGGTGCAGGTACAGGAGCTTACACCCTGACTGTCATATTCAGGAGACAGAAGAAAGAGAGTTGCTATGGGTGTGATCCAACCTGGCCTCACAGTGAGTAGTAGGTTAGTTTTTGCTACAAAAATAAAATCCTACCATTAGAAACTATAACCAAATCTCTACTTCCCAATAGCAAACCCCATATGTATACAGACATTTTATAATGAAAATAACTTTAGGATATCATTGTTGTATTTTAATAATAGCTATAATTGCTTTTTAAATTGTATTCTTGGCCTGGAAAGCTAGAACATCATTTAATAATGGTTGCAATTGTTTCAGAAGACTCAAGTTCAGTTGGACAGTTCTCAATTGCCTGCAACTCCAGCTCCAGGGGATCTGACACTATCTGCTAGCCTCCATGGGCCATCACATACATGGTTCACACACATTCAGACAAATAAAAATAAATCTCTAAAAAAGCTGCCATAAATAATGAAATTTTAGTATTGCTTATACACTACATTTTTATGTTTAATTTTTTGTTTCCTTTTGCTTTATTTTTTAATTACCTACATTTGTATAACAATATTAACAATATGCTTTTGAAAGTACTATATTTGTAGAGGGAAAAGTATCCCACAATGCCATGCAGGTAAACTAGAAAATTACCATCATATTGCTAGAATAATATTTTAATGAGCATTATATATGCATGCAATATATTTGATTGTGTTGGGTTGTTAATAGTCAGAAGTTCTTTCATTGTGATTTATCCATACTAGAAGTACTTGGTTACAATAAGTTTCATTTAGGTTCTGAGCCCATGTGTCTGTTTATTGTTCTATAACTTCTGAAGTTGTTTTGAAGCCACTAAATGGTGTCCTAGAACTCAATAGATTGTGGTAGCTAATTGACTCTCCAGGGTAAACACTGCACTCAGGACATAGTTTATGTAGTTCATTTTCTAGGAAGGCAGCAAAATGCTTACACAGAGCTTTGAACTCCCATAGTTAACTAGTGACATCATGGAAGCAAGCCAGGTGTCTTTGTTTAGTATTCCTTTTTCTGGTTTATAGGCAGGCTGTGGAATATCCATTGCTCATAGCCAGCAAGCAAATCAGCTTTCACTTTCTCAGATAATGTGCAATTGAAACTGAAGCAAGCTTTACCTTATTTCTAGGGACCACAGATAACTCTTGGAATGTATATACAGATGCTCCAAGAGAGTCTCCACAAAACAGGAATCTAGTTTTCTCACTTGATAATGAGAGTATCTTTCTCATTACATGACAAAATTCTAGACTAGTCAGTTTTTCCAAAAATCCTATTTTTATAAGGCACATGTGAGAATCTTCTGGGGAGAGGTGATTACTTTATTATCATCCAAAGGAGCATTAGATGACAGATTTTTCAAGTAATTTTCTATGAATAAATTAATCTGTATACCAGCGATATCAAGTTCTTTTTTCTTTTCTTTTTTTTTAACTTGAAAAGAAAAGGTTTTATTTTTTCTCTCTCCATTTTTATTTAAATTAGAAATAAGATTATTTTACATGTCAATCCCAGTTGCCTCTGCCTCCCCTCCTCCCCTATGCACCCCTCAACTAACATCCTACCTGTCCCTTGCTCCCCAAGGAGAATGAGGCCTCCCATAGTGGGTCTTCAGAGTCTGTAATATCCTTTGGGATAGGACCTAAGCCTTGTGTCTAGGCTCAGGGAGTATCCCTCTATGCAAAATGGGCTCTCAAAGTCTATTCCTATGCTAGGGATAAGTACTGGTCTACTACAAAAGGCCCCATAGATTTCTGAGTTCTCCTCACTGACACCCACGTTCATGGGGTCTGGATCAGTCCCACAATGGTTTCCCAGGCATCAGTCGGGGAACTAAGATTCCCTCTTGTTCAGGTAAGCTGTTTCCGTGGGCTTCACCAGCCTGGTGTGGACCCCTTTGCTCATCAGACCTCCTTTTCTGCAACTGGATTCCATTTCACTTTAGTGTTTAGCTATGGGTGTCTGCTTCCACTTCCACCAACTGCTGGATGAAGGCTATAGGATGGTATATAAGTCATCAGTCTCAGCTAGGACAATGAGACAGGGAGAACAGGAGGGATGATGAGAACATGAGGGAGCAGGAAGTTTGAGTTGGGGGAAAAATAGAGGAGGGCAAGATAAGAGATACCACAATACAGGGAGCCATTATAGGTTTAAAGAGAAATCAGGCACTAGGGAAATATCTGTAGATCTACAACGATGGCACCAACTAACAATCTAAGCAACAGAGGAGAGATTACCTTAAATGCAATATCAAGTTTTTACTTTAAAAATCAGTCTTTTCCAGTAAAAGTTTTAATTTTTGGTAAATCAAGTTAAGTTTAAAGTATTTTTGATCTAGAAAGATTATTTGTATGCACAAAATATTTTCAGGTAGGAAGACATAGAATGTTATGGAGGCACACCTATTCTAGTCATGTGATTGAAATTCTGATGGATCCTGAATGTATGTTTATTTAATATGCATTAGGAAATATTGGAGTTTAAAATAGAATCAAGCTCAGTAGAATAGTTGCAATGTGTAGAATTCTTTTAAATTAGGAATTTCTGCCAGAGACACACGACATAAATAGAAGAACAAACAGGAACTGGGATTATATCTCACTGGCAGAGCACTTGTCTAGCATGTGTGAAGTCCACAAAAATAAAAAATCAAAAGTAATGCTACAGATAACTGAGTCAGTCTTCAACACCCTGAGTATCATGACAGAACTAATATTGTATATTTTCAAGGGAGGAATTGTGGAAGTCTTGTTCTTTAGTTCCTATAAATGACAATTTAGTTTGGGATAAAGGAGGTGAATAATGAAAATAAAACAAACAAACATGTGATGTGTATAAGCACTTGGCAGCACAGAAAGATTAGCATCATCTAGCTAATAGGACAAATACCTCCTTTCTTTATTTGTTTAGCTTTCAGTGCTAATAGGTGGCTTCTTTCTTACAGTTCTCAATAATGACAGAAAACATGTTTATTTTGTAGCACACTTCTTTGGATTATGACTCATAGCTTGAAGTACAATGCTAGAACTAAGAACATGTGTCAAATACACTTGTATTGTCCTCAGGTTCTCGTCTGAATATGGACCATAGTTGAGTTTTCTGGTATGACAGGTATGGTACCTAGAGTCGCTCAGTCTTTTCAAAATTTATATCTTCACTTTTGCCATCTTTAGTGTGATGCAGCTGGCAAATAACTACCTGTATTTTTAACATATGTTGAGCAGTAACTATCAAAATGAAGCTTTGTAGCGTATCTATCACCTTAAATGGTTGTCACTTGTGTGTGGTGTCTGCAAGAACACGTACAACATAATTTCAGTACATTTCAACTATGTAACATGATTTTGCTAACTGTATTTACTGTGCTGCAGATTATATCTCCAGAAGCCATCCATTTTGTCTCACTAAAACTCTGTACAATTGGATCAATATCTTCTGTGTGCTGCTCTCCTCCTAGCCCCGGACTACAGTCCTTTGTTTCTCTAATTCTATAAATTTGATGTTGGTTTGTCTTTCTGTGTCTGACCTATTTCACTTAGCAGAATGCCCTCTATATCCCATCAAATTGCCACAAATGACAGGATTCTTTTTTGTTAATTTCCAAGAATTATCACCCTCATCCACTCATAGTAGACATATTTCACACTCCTCTTTCTTGATAAAAACTAAAAGCACACATCTATCAGACTTGCATTATTGAATTTCTCTGTTCCTGGAATCAGGGAAATGTAATCTGAACAGACTAGAAATGTTATAGGGATAAGCAGGACCTTCCAGGTCAGAAGTACTGCCTCACTCTGACGTTCCTGGAATGTACTCTTGGCGGCCTCCAGTGTAGGAAGGTTTTACTGAACCTTATTTGAAACAATGATTTGTTTTAGCTTCAACTGTTATTGCCCCATAATATTCACAAAACAAAAGACTCAGATGCTGTGCATGGTTACTACCAATAAATATGTCATAGGACTTACCAGGAAAGATCTAGACCCTGTAACACCTGAAACATTCCAGATTCAAGGTATTAAAGGTGCAAAATGATTGAGACTAGAAATAAAGTCGAGGTTGTCTGCAGGGAATTCTCCGAGGTGTACCAAGGATGAGGCAGACACACACCATCATTTAGCAAAATGATTGCATGCAGAATTCACTTGAGTAGACCAGCCCTGTCTTTTCTAGTGCTAGTTTGGTACCTTTATATTTTATGTTCTATTTTCAAATATATTAAAAGCCCAGAAAATATTAATGGAGAAAATTATCTAAAGGAATCTCTGAAGATATAGTTTAGCAAGATATTAGCATATTGGTTAAATCAAGTCATATCAGGTTGGGTAGATTGCTCAGGTTTTAAAGACTGAAAACTTACAACCAAAATGTTGTGAAAATTGGAGAAAAGTAAAAAAAAAATGGAAGTGAGTTTCTATTCATAGCACAGTTAAGTTTATGCTAGTTCAATAAAAAAGGTGAAAGGATCGAGTTAAATCTGGATTGATAATAGAAATAAAGACAGAAGATGATTTTTGTTTTGTTCTTGTATGTGTGTTTATTTTATTTAGCAGGTTAGATTAATGAGTGTAAATTGGTATTTTTTAAATTTCTGGGTTAGGAAAACATGACATCACCACAGCAAACTGTGATCTCATGGACTAACAAGGACTAACAAGTCTGGGTCCTTCACCCCTGTGGTGATGGCTGCTTAGGTTTTGGGGGACTCAGAGTGACAGATATAGCTTTTTAGGGCACATCACTGTGGTCAGCAAAGAAAAGAAACAGGGCCAACACTGCCAGATGAAACCTATACATAAGGCTTCCCTAAAATTCAGAATGAAGTCATGTGACCCTACTATGAGCTATGGCAAACAGCACAAGAAACTATCTCAGTATCCATTCTAGTTATGCAAACTGGAGATTTTCAATTTCCCTCAAGGAATGGCTCAAATTAGAGCTAATGTGGAAAGAGTGCTTGCCCTTCTGTTCCATTGAGGGTGCTCTAATGAACACACGGATTTCTTTGCACACCATTTAACAGCACTGCTATATATCTTGCCTGCTAACAGTTAGAGTAATAATTGGTTTGTGGTTTCCCAAGGATCACCTGCCACTGGAGACATTTTGTCAGCTTTAAAATTGTATGACAGAGGGGCTAGAGAGATGGCTCAGTGGTTACAAACACCCTTCTAGAGGTCCCAAGTTCCATTCCCAGCAACAACATGGTGGCTCACAACCATCTATAACGGGATCTGACGTACTCTTCTGGCATAAAGTCAACAGAGCACTCATATACATAAAAGAAGCAACTAAATCTTTTAAACAATGTGTAACAGAGTAATCTGACTACACATTTTACTCCATTTATTATTTCTTTATAATTCATGATTGATAATCTTGTAGATGTTGATTTAAAGGAAATTCTTTATGGGAATTTTTGTTGATTTATGGTTTATTTGTGTTGTGTTTTTATTAGAAACAGGCCAGTGGCTTCCAGTGTTTGAATGGGAATTTGGATCACTGACAATAGAATAATAAGCATTGATCATAAAACTAGAATCTATTCTTGTTGCTTTCATTATCTTAATGTGCATAAGGTCTATAAAATTGAGAAGTAACTCTCATACTACAAAATAGACATGACACTTAAAACCTGAGAGTCCACAGAGTGTAGTCTTTAAGTATGTCCATTCAGAAGCTGGACTGACTAATTTTACATACCACATTTTCCACTAAGTGATTCTAGGGACTTGCCTAAATTCTCTATGATTGATTCAATTTGGTCATCTGGGGGAATGAGTAACAATGGCTTATGTGGATAAATTTGGGTTTATATACATAGAAATGTTAAAAGAACATCTGATGTATAGTTGAGGAAGAACTCAGTGAATTTGTATCAAATACTTTCATTGTATCAATAAGGTAAATGTATGAATACATGTAATCCCAGAATATAATGGAATGTAACATGTCATATATCCTGGTCCTCCTAAATATATGTATTTATGTATGGGAACTATTGAAATAAAGATGTTGTGGTCAATTTTCTAGTTCCCAACTGATATTTTGCATGTATTAATACAGTTTAGTCCAAACTAGAGATATTAATGCAATGTCCATGGCACTTCAGAATTGTTAATGACAGATAGGAACAGCAACATTCCTCTGATAAAAAGTAAGCTACAGGAGCCAAAGCTGGGTGAGTTTGAACTGCCATGACAGGTAAGAACATACATATTTTATTTTCAGCAGTATGACAAGTGAACTGCATGCATGCTAAGGTTATGTGTCTGTGACAGTTGTGTCTTAAGACATTGTGCTTAATAGAAACCAGAGTAGAATCACTGAGTCTTTAAATACAAATAATGTCCTTATAAAGTAGTATCTGTAAAAGTGTGTTCTTAAAATATTTTATTCAAATTTTCTCTCTGTCCTGCTTCTGGTTTCCTACTTTATATTTCTAATATCATGTAATCAAATATCTTTTCAGCTTGTTATAGTTTCAGATGCCATAAGTTTTAAAATCTAATCTTATTAGTATAAAGCTGATTTTTTTCTTCCATTTTAGACTCTTAAGAAATGGAATGAAACCACGTCTTGTCTACTGATCTGTCTGCAAGGTTCACACAGTACAACAGGCAAGGATGGAAGCCATTTTTGTTAGAGTTCCTGTGTTGTTGGTGCATCTAAGAGAAATGCAATTTGCTGACAGGATCTTCAGCTTCTAAAGAGCTTCCCTTGCTAAGCAATTTCGTCCCATCCCCTATGTCCATCTTCATCTATCGTGGATAGATGGATTTTAACATCCTTGGTAGTATGATCGCTTCATCCACATGGAGGATTTGTGGTATCTACCGTATAGAAAGGAGAATGCACTTTATATAGATTTTAGAAAACAATGATATTAAAACTATATCTCCTTCCTGTATTAGACACAGGTAAAAATAAATTAAATCAGTGATTTAAAAAAAAAACACTGAATAACTTTGGTTTCATGCATACAATTTACCATGAAACATTAAGTGTGGGTAAGTGGAAACAGGGGAAAAAGAGATTATCCACAATATATACCATATAAGTTCATACACTATACAAGTTCATTCTGGGACTCAACAAAAGAAAAGCAACAAGGAAGCAATGAAGTGATAGACCCAAGGGACTCCTTGAAAGTTGATGACTAATTAAAATATGGCTACAAGAAGTGCCCCTGCTAATGAATGGATATTGGAATTGGGAAATGAATATGGTTAAATTTTTTAAAATGGATGATTCACGAAGAATGGATTACAAAGGGCACTAACATTGAATTCCTCTTGTAACCCAATGAATTTAAGGGGATTATGGCAAAGCATGTGACAAAGAAAACCTCAGACATATGTGTAGTGCTGTGGCCAAAGTGGGGGGGGGGCACCAGGCTGAAATAAAGTAGTGGGAAGGATTTTATACAGAGAAGAAATAGCAAGGGGGCTGTTTGGTATTTTGAGCATGGAGATCTTTATGAACAAAAGTTCTAAGCTGTGCTAATTGAAGAAGAAAATGTGTAAAGTGGGCAGGGGTACATTCCAAGTAACAACAACAGAGTACTGGTGTGTGATCACATCAGGATTGACTAAGGAGGGAGAAGCAGCTGCAGAAGAGGCAGTACCTACATCGGCTGCATTTAAAATATTTGCTGTGAGAAAGAAAAGTTTTCCAAACTGGGTCTGGAAAAAAATATTTGGCCAAGGTTTTAGCTGGGTGCCCACTATTGGTAACTGAAACTTCGGAGTTTGTGGGTCTTGTTTGGATGGTGCTGCATCCATTCTCATCTGTAGAACCTTTAATCTTTCTGCTACAGGACTCACTGGACTATTCAGAGCTTCAGTTCTCTCTGTTGTGAAGTATGGACAATAATTTCCATTCAGAATTATTTTTTTTTAAGTTTGGTGAAGTAATGTCTGCAAAACACTTAGCAGAATGCATGTCTTACATAAAAGGTAAAAAAAAAAAAAAAAACGATGTGTTTTATAGGTGAGCACAGTGGTCCGTGGCTGTTATCTCAGTTCTGGAGAAGCAGGAGCAGAAAGATCAAAGGTTTGAGTTTCCAGAAGATGATGTCATAAAATCTATATAAGCATATGTATGCATAGATGCTATTTTCTTAAGAAACAATTTTAATGTTCCCATGGGAGCAAGTGTAGACTGCATCATGCTGAAATGATCAATGTCAGTCAATTTAACAGTACCCAGAGACCAGTATCTCAGAAACACATAGTTCAGACAGCAACATAAAGAAAGAAGGGAGACTTATAGTCACCTTGGGTGATGGAATACAATAGGATATTCTAGAGATTGAAACATGGCATGATACTCGGAATGAAAGTTTTAGAAGAAGATCCAGCATCAGCCAGGGTCAGCCCAGAATTTGTAGCTTGGTAAGTTTGTTTGGAATCGTCTCTCTCTCTCTGGCCTAACCTGTGCTTGGTAATTGCTCTTGAACGTCTCTGTGCACTTAGTAAGCTGTTGTTCCTGCCATCACAAATCTGTGAACAGGCTCTCCATAAGAGTTTCTCACTTCTTGGACTGACAAAGAAGCAGAAGGTAACATGATCTTCATCCCTGGGTCTGTTTATAAATTATTCTTGGGCCATGAAAATAGCATAGTCATGAATTCATCATTTTAAGGAAATTCCTTTTGCTTGAAAATAGAATATGTTTGGTTCCCAGTACTAAGCTTATAAATCCCTATGATTCCTTATTTGGAATTAATCCTTCTGAATTAAACTAGACCATAAAATCTGTGATGGGTCAGACCAAACACGAACAACACACTACTGCTATCCACCTAAAAAAAAAAGTGTGTGTCTGGGGGGACTTGAATTGTAGCATCTCAGGAGCAGTAAATATCTTACTACAAAGTGAGGCAGGAATCTTAAACCTTTCTTACTTTGAGTCTTAATTTTGGATTGAGTTCAATGTCATGTTAACAATTAAATCTATTTTATGTTTTATTGATGTAATTCTCCCTATTGTAAATGATTTCCATTTATAAGGTCCTCTTATGGCAAAGAGAACTTCTTATTCTGTCTTACCATCTGCTTTATAAGGAAGATAAATATGCAAAGCAGCAATGTCATAAAAGTTGCCTGTGTGTGGTCTGGGGCCTGCTTAATGTAGAATCAGAGGGCTTGGACTCAAGGTGCTTCCTCCCATCACCTCCAACAAGAGATCCCCACCTCTTCTTGAATAGGGTAGTTTTAAGGCATACTGACTACTGCAGTTCATCATTGAGTTTAAATCCCTACTGAATATGTCCCTTAACAAAGGGACCCCCATTCTCAGGTATAACTATAAATGAAGAACTCCTGGATATTCAAAGCATGACTGTGAGTAAATTCTTCCACTCTTCTATGACCTGTCAATAAAAAGCAATCTTGTTTAACATTTATTATGCTAGAGCACCTTTAAGAATGAAAATGTACACTTGATCTTAGCCAAAAAGATGTGGAGAAAGAGGAACACTTCTCCACTGCTGGTGGGAGTGCCAACTTGTACAGCCACTTTGGAAATCAGTACGGCAACTCTGCAAGAAAATGGGAAGCAGTCTACCACAAGATCCAGCAATTCCACTCTTAGGCATATACCCCAAAGGAGCACATTCATACAACAAAGACATCTGTTCAACGATGTTCATAGCAGCACTATTTGTAATAGCCAGAAACTGGAAGCAGCCTAGATTCCCCTCAATGGAAGAATGGATAGAGAAAATGTGGTACATTTACACAATGGAGTACTACTCAGCAGAAAAAAACAATGGAATCTGGAAATTTGCAGGAAAATGAATGGAACTCGAAGAAACCATTTTGAGCGAGGTAACCAAATCACAAAAAGACAAACATGATATGTATTCACTCATATGTGCATTTTAGACATAGAGTAAGGGATTACCAGCCTACAATCCACACTGCCAGAGAAACTAGTAAACAAGGAGGACCTTAAAAGAGACAAACTTTGTCCCCTGGAGAAGGGGAAAGAGTCACCATCCTCTGAGCAAATTGAGAGCATGGGAAGAGGTGGGAGGAAGCTATGAGAATGAGAAGGGAAGAAGAGGAAGGATGCAGAGGTCATGAGGGAGCAGAAAGGTTGAGTCAGGTGTAGATTAGAAGAAAGGAAATGAGATAGGTAGAGTTTTAGTTGGGGGGATGGTACGGGAGGAAGGGAGGAAGAAGGGAACTGGGATTGTCATGTAATTCAATCTTGTTTGTAATTCAAATTAAAAATGATAAAAAAGAATGAAAATGTAAAAAAGATGAGAAATACAGATCCCAACTTCCCTGAATATGTTTGTATGCATACGTTTTCAGGAACAGAGATACAAAGCCCTAGCTTTCTTGGGTGTGTTTATATGTAAATGCTCTCAGGAGCAAGGAGCTGAGTCTATGAGCAAAAACAAAAAACAAACAAACAAACAAAAACAAATAGTGCAGTGTGGTAGCATAAACTCTAATGCTAAAGGATTCTTAAAAATAATCCAGCTCACAGCATCAAATGAAGAGAAGATGAATTCATCTTTCAAAGCAGGATGGCTTGCATCTGTCTGCTAACTGGGGAAGGACACAGGTAAAGAGATGTATGCGTAGTGAATTTTCAAAAGATTTGCAGAGAGCACACACATTGTGAGGTTTTATTGTTGGAACCTGGTTGAATTCTCATTAACAGAACACACATCTCTGCAGTCTTCTGGCTTGCAAAGCTATATGGAGGACCAGCCAGAGAGCTCAAGATAATCAAGGGGCTGAGCTTCTTTTGAAGTCTTTCTGATTGTGGTCATTAACAGCTAGATATCAGATGCTATAAGGAGAATAATTTAGATGCTTCCAATTAAGATTTGCAGATGAAATTTAATGTTCAAACCCTCAGGTGCCTATAAAGTAAGCTGGTTAATTCGGAAGAAATTTGTGGTTGTTTTCTTTGAAGTTCATTTTGTTTTCCAGTGCATCTCGGAATTGAATAAAGTAGGCAACTACCTGGTGATTTTACTTTTAAAGGCAACATAATCTAGATCCAAACAATTTTCTTTTGGACAACATTCCTTTAAAATAGCAGGATGGGATTATATTAACTTAAAACTGCCTGAACATATTTCCACACCACTCCATTTACAAATATATACCCTCAGATATTTGAACTGTAGAAGTGAATTGAACTTCTAAATTTAAGTTGAATATGCTGCACGATAGCCTTTGAAATTCCTTGACATCCAAACCATGCATGGCACATGTTCGTTTCCCTGTCCTAAAAAGCTTTGGAGAAGAAAGGTTAAAAGCTCCTAAAATTTTAATTAGTCCAAGCAGGGACAAAATTTACAAAATCAGATTCCAGGAAATCAGTAAAGTAGTATAATAAATGAAAACTAATGGGCTCCATTTGATCAAAAATTACACTGAACAAAGAGTTTTTATTTTATAATCAAATTATATTCTTAAGTATGAACATGATCCCAATGTGGGAACTCATGACACTTTTTCAACACAAATGATCAAATAAGTACTGAAACTGACCAATTAAATATGAGTCTATAAATGAATGCCAATGTTTTATTTTTGTAGTAGAAGGAGGAAAAAAGCCCACCAACAGTCTGGCATTACTTTTACCATAAATGCTTTGTAGTTTATTATGCAAATGAAATACAAGGCAAATGTTAGGCTAGAGACATGAGGTCATCGCACACATATATCATATGACTAGGAATGTGTGCCTTTCCACCCAGGAACCTCCTGCTTTTCTCCTGTTATGTCTCTTAGTGTTCTTTACAAGTTAGAAATCTCTCACTTTCTCTAGGTTTGCAATTCAGAGATTAGGTTTTGTCTTTCTAACACAAACCTGGGCAAATCACAGTGCTTACAAATCGCCACATTCTCATCAGCTGGAGAGAAAAAGAGAAGGCAAACTAGGTGTTTAGAGTGCAAGGCAGAGCCAGGCTGGAGCAATGGTTTCCTGACTCCTCTTGAGTCAGAAGTCTGGTCCACAGCTACCCTAATGAAATCAGTAGCAAAAGCAAACAGGGGAGGAACTGGGCTATGGAAATGCTTTCATTTCCCCCTGTGCAAAAGGAACAACAACAATCTTTCTCATTCTAAACTATATGTACATTTCAACTGCACTTTACATTGCAATGAATTATGAAGAAAAGAAAACAAAAGTGTATTTAATAGAATGTCAGTTGAAAGCTAACTTTCATTCTGCAAGAGAGGGCCCAGGCAGTTTCACTGTTGTTTGACATCATCTGGGGTTCTTCAGGGGTTGAGAGCCTCCTGTGAGTCCTTGGCTTACCTATATATTCCCTGTGATATCCGGCTTTGTCATTGTGAACCACCAACCAAAGGGGGAGCTGTTGTTGGACTCCTAAACTGAGAATCTCATTGCATAGTATATAAAATCCTATTGTCATGAGGGAAACATTGGTTGAAGGTACCCAGGAATCACCATATGTCCAAACATGTTGAGGAAAGTAGTGGGTTAACATGACATAGAGCTGCCAGAGATAACAAACCTGAACTCCATCCAGACTGCCAAAGACTCTTATCTAGTGAGGTCCTTCCCCAGACTTCCAGTTCCAAGGAACCCCACTCCAGGAAGCCAGATTACCATTGCTGCCAATAATTGCCAGAGCAGACAAACACAATGGCTTCTCTTGGAAGTGCAAGTCTAGATGTAGAGCCTTGGCTTATTTAATTTTTTTTACTTGCTCTAGGGTAAAAAATCTAAGTTAATGTGCGGGCTTTGAAAACCCATCAATCCCTGAGCTCAAAAGGCCACCATTCCCTGAGCTTGAAAGCCCACCAATCCCTGAGCACGGAATCCTACCAATCCCTGAGCTTGAAAACACATCAGTCCCTGGACTTACCCCAAGATTAAGACTCCAAGTTTCACCCTGGAAATTTCAACACCCTGGAAATCATCACATGGAAAAACTGTCTCCAAGAAACCCTTTTGCCCAGGCAGAGACAGCCACCATGTGAGAATTCTATCATACCAGAGCATGAAATACATGGCTCTGGCAGGCCTTGCCCTTCTGCTATTCCCTCTTTCTTACTAAAAACCATTAGACTACATTCCAAAAACTATTTACCAAGGTCTGTTCAGTTGTTTGTTTACTTCTTCCCTCTGAGACAGACTACCAAGGTCAAGCTATCAAAGAACTAAATTCAGGAAACCAAATGCTCCCTTTTGGCCACTTTAATTAACCCATTCAATCAAAATTAAACACCTCATTTTAACATGGAGTTTCTCTTTTTACCTTTGTAAACTGTTATTTTCCTATGGGCCATATCTGTATCCTCTCTCTCCAGAGGCAGTAGTTCTTTGTCCCCAAGGAACAAAAATTCCTTCCTCCTCTTTTTCCTTTCTCCTTCTTTACAGTCCTCTACCTCTATCCTTTTCATTTCCCCTTCTTTAAAGTCCTCTACCTCTCATCTTTGTCTCTTATCCCTGTGCTTGGTCTATCTTGGTCGTGGGTTATCTTGCACCCATATGGGTCCTTTCACACCCTCATGTATCTTTCCTAATAATTCACTTATATGAGGTTTGTTGTGTGGTGTGACTGTGGTATTCCTTGGCTCCCTACTGCCTGGATACTTTTCCCCTCAGAGTTGCAACACTTTCATTAGAAAAACCCTTCCCCTTAGAGCTGTAACATTTATACTTGATAATTTATATAATTATATAAGCTTCATTAAAAAAAACACTTGCAAAAATTACACAACAATGTTAACTACAAAAATTGATTTTAAAAGTCATTTTGTGAATGTGTGAGATATTTTTTAATTTTTTTCATTAAACTCCCCTATAATTCATTGTCTTTCTCTGATTTTGATAATTACTGGATCTCTAGGGTATATATTTAAAGTAAAAAAAAAAAAAAACTGAGGAGGCATATGAAAAAAATTTCAGACTTTTAATAAAACATAGAGATAACTAGTCATAGCATGTTAAAAATACTTTCTTAGAAGGCAAGTCATTCCCTTGGCCTGAGATAGCAGTACAAATTAACTAACATGTCTTACTCCCCTTCTTTGTCTCTTTTTAAAAATAAAAATATCTCCCTTTATGAAGATAATATTAAGTCACTAACAACTTGTATAACAGTTTCTTCCAATATTGAAACAATCCATCCTGAAGGAAGCGTCTTAAATGGGAAGGTAAACAACTCAAAATAGCTCCAGGAAGTCCCTGAAGCAGAACAGATTCACAAGGCTCCTACCTGCCAGGGTATAACAATAAAAGGTGAGAGCCTCTTTCAGAGCAGTGGAGTTGAGCTGCAACGAAGACTGAGAACAGATCAGCTGCCTTCAAGAAGCAGAAATGAGCCAAGTTGTCAAGAAGAGATTTACACCAGCTGAGTCACTTGAAAGGCCACTCTTCAACCTGTCTATCTGCCTGCAGGTTGTGCAGTGTGCTCCAGGTTCCCAACTTTTGTGAGCTGTCTCCTATGTTGGGTGAACTTTGATAATGCAATTGTCTTTGAGTCATTTCTTCCCCCTGTAAGTAACCCTTCAAAAACTCATTAAT